CACCATTATCATAATCAGCATCATCATCATCCTCAGCATCATCATCACCACCCTCATCAGCATCACCAGTATCGTCAAATCACCATCAGCATCAGCAGCAACATCATTGTCATCATCATAATCACCATCACAGGAAGTACGATCGGACTTGATTGGAGAGGACGTGCGAGAGGACACAAGACCCTTCCGAGGGCCACGTTGCCACAGAGATGCAGGAGGCCTGGGTCGCAAAACACAGGACACGAGGGTACCCTTGATCTGGCAGGGTCGACCTACTAATCTTGGCCGCCTGTATCATCATCATCATCATTATCATCATCATCGTCATCATCATCATCGTCATCAGCATCAGCATCAGCATCAGCATCAGCATCAGCATCAGCTTCATCAGCATTGTCATCTTCATCTTCATCTTCATCTTCATCAGCATCATCATCATCATCATCATCATCATCATCATCATCATCATCATCATCATCATCATCATCGGTATCAGCATCAACATCATCATCACCATCATCACCTTCACATTCGTCATCATCATCTCTATCAACCTGATCACCATCATCATCGCCATTGCCAGACTCATTTCGGCACATTCCTCGCAACCTATGTGGTCCCATAGAGGGCTCCACTGAAGGTCCCAGTGGCAAGGTTCACATGCGTCCCCAGAACCAGTTCGGCAGATCCCTCACCGAACGCCCCAATGTCAAGGGTCACATCCGCTCCCCGGGAATATCTGGGCAGACCCATCACACTGGAGGCCGTAGTGGCAGGGGGTCACATGCGATCCCAAGATGATGTTAGCACCCCCCTCACACGCTGCGTCGTGGCTCCATCATGAGCTCCACCGAAGGCCCCAGTGGCAGGGCCACATGCATCTCCAAGATCATGTCGGCACATCCCTCACGCGTTTCGCGGCGCGATAAGGAGCTCCACAGAAGGCCCCAATGGCAGGGTTCACATGCGTCCCCAGGAGCATCTCGGCTCACCCCACACACGCTCGTGGCCTCATGATGAGCTCCACCGAAAGCCCCAGTGGCAGCGTTCGCATGCGTCCCCATGTCTATTTCGGCACACCCCTATCACGCTTCGTGACCCCACAAAGAGCTTAACCGAAGGTCCCAGTGGCAGGGTTCGCCTGCATCCCAAGGCGCATGTCGGCACACCCCTCACAAGCTTAGTGGCCCCACAGGGAGCTCCACCGAAGGCTCCAGAGGCAAGGTTCGCATGTGTCCCCATGCCAGTTTCCGCGCACCCCTTCACACGCTTCGTGACCCCACAGGGAGCTCCACCGAAGGCTCCTGGGGCAAAATTCACATGCGTCCCCATGCCCATTTCGGCACACACCACACACACGTTTCGTGGCCACATAATGAACTCCACCGAAGGCCCTGGTGGCAGGATTCACATGTGTCCCCATGCCCATGTCGGTACACCCCTTGCACACTTCGTAGCCCCATAGGGTGATTCACCGAAGGCCTCAATGGCAAGGTTCACATGCGTCCCCAGGATGATCTGGGCACACCCCCCACACGCTACGTGGCCCCCGTAGGGAGCTCCACCGAATGCTCCTGAGGCAAAGTTCGCATGCGTCCCTCCGCCCATTTCGGCAGACCCCTCGCACGCTTCGTGGCCCTACAGAAAGCTCCACCGAAAGCTTTTCCGGCAGGGTTTTTATGCGTCCACCCGCTGATCCCGCCGGGTTCATATGCGTCCCCAGGCCCATGTCGGCGCACCCCTGACACGTTGCATGGCCACACGGGGAGCTCCACCGCACGCTCCTGAGACAAAGTCCGCATGCGTCCCCCCCGCGCATTTTTCGACGCACCCCTCACACGCTTCGCGCCCCAACATGGAGCTCCACCGACGGCTTTTGCGTCAAAATTCCGATGCGTCTCCCCGCTCAGCTCGGCGCACCCCTCACACGTTTCGTGGCCTGGCGCCACTGGGAGCTCCACCAAATGCTCCTGAGGCAGGGTTCGCATGCGTCTCCCCGCTCATCTCGGCGCACCCCTCACACGCTTAGTGACCCCACAGGGAGCTCCACCGAAGGCTCTAGTGGGAGGATTCGCATGCGTCCCCATGCCCACTTCGGCACACCCCTCACACGCTGCGTGGCCCCCGTAGGGAGCTCGAGCCAAGGCACCAGTGGCAAGGATCACATGCGTCCCCATGCCCATTTCGGCACACCTCTCACACGCTTCGTGGCCCCACAAACAGCTTCCCCGTCCTTCGTCCCAGCTGCCTGGCGGCACCTGGCACTCACACTTGCACATGGTCGGGTCCTTCGCCAAAATATGTTGTTTTCTTCTTCCTCCTGGCGTTTTGCCTGCAATTCGGCCCTCGGAGGCCCGTTATCGGGACCCCAGGGTCACCAAAACTGGGTCTGGGGCGCAAAACTGCCCAGCCAAGAGGCCGGGATATCTGGGGCCGCGCATGGAAACACACACACACACACACACACACATCGTCGGACATCTGGGGATCTGGAGATGCGAAGCTGATCATGGAGGTGCAGCGGCCTGTCAGACAGCAAGGCGGTACTCGACTGGCTTGCAAAACAAGACTCACTTGGCTGAGCAACGTGTGAAACATCCAGCCTGCTACATTGAAGGAACCAAGGGTTCTGAGGAAAACGGATCCCCTGATACCGACCGAGCGTATTTCCTGTCGTCCTCCGCCCTCCACCTCCTGCTCCTCGTCCTTCTGCTCCTGCCCCTCCTCATCCTGCCCCTCCTGCTGCGGCTTCTGCTGCGTCTCCTCCTCCCGCTGCTGCTGCCTGCCACTGGTAATTGCCCTGACGGAGTTCCTGTAGCGAGTCTGGCGGTGGCGACGAGGTGCTGCCCTGGCACCCGGATGAAACTTTGAGAAGGAGCGCCCGGCCCGAGACGGGAGGAGGATGATGAGTCAGGAGGAGGGGGAGGAAGAGGAAGAGGAGGAGCAGGAGGAGGAGGAGGAGGAGGAGGAGGAGGAGGAGGTAGAAGGAGGAGGAGGTAGGAGGAGGAAGGGAGGGAGGAGGAAGGCGGATGGGGTGAGAGGAGGAAGCCTGAGAGGAGGGTGGAGGGGGAGGATGGAGGTAGAGCTGGCGGGGAGGAGACCTGAAACATGTGCCAGAGCTGCAAACGAAACCTCAAACCTGCCTCCCCCAATTGTAGGACAACGCTGGGGAATTCCCTCTCTTTTGGTCAAGTTCGGGTGCTCCCTGCGCCCTGAAAGTAACGTGTCAAGTGGAATCCCCCGGCCTCTCTCCTTAGGGACGCCGAGCCAAGGCGCTCAGCATGGAAGAGTGGGTCCGGAAGGCGCGGCCTGGCTCACTCCGCCCGGCCAGAGGCAGCCTCCGACCCCGAGGTGCGGCGGGCGAGGACCCCGCGTGGCGCCGCAGACACGCATGCCTGCAAACGGTCAGCGGGCTGCCCCAGGGCACGCCGAACAGGGAGCGGAGGCGCTCGTTCTGGCCACGGCGAGCCTCGGCCGCGAGGAGGTGTCCTCCGACCAGGATGTGAGGAGTGGCCGGCAACCAGGGCCCCTCTTGGGGAAACCAAGAGATACCCATACTGCTACTCCCTGGACCTCTCGCGGGGTGCGTTCCGACCAGAATTTCGAGGCGAATCCAGCGGTGGCGACGAGGGCCTCCCAAAAAAGCCCCCCAAAAGGGGAAACAACAAGGGAAGGGTAGCGGTATGGGTACCTCCTAACTCCTCTGACCTCCTGAGCCCAAGGTGGTCCATACTGCAGCGTCCCAGCTGCTCGTTCGCTCTTGGGGTGACGCCTGGTGGCTTTCGGGACATACAAAAAACTTAAACTCGGGCCTCCGGTGGCCGCTTGTGGCGATTCTGGGCGTCGCTGGAGCGCTCTCAGCAAGGCGCAACTGCTGGAACGCATCCCGAGGCTGAGACGCGGCCGACAAGCGACGAGCCTACCGAAACTTTTTGGTAAAACTGCGGAAGCGCAAAAGACTCAGTCGACCCGTATCATCAGGACGCACGACAAGGATGCAAGGGCCTTGGAGAGCCATGTCGAAGCTTGTCGAGCGGGGCGCGGCCAACGAGAGTGGCCAAGAATGGACCGAGGCAAGGATGCAAGGGTACCCTTGAAAAGGTTGCCCATCCTTACTATGCGGGTTGACTGTCTGTCCGATAGCGCGATAGCGCCGCCAATGCGTACCCGCCCATGGGCTGCCAATCAACCTGCATACCGAGCGGAATGCAATCCGAGAAAAACGGCAATTACCTCCTTGCGGACACCTGACATGGGTACGGAAGATGGACACGATACTCAAACGTCAGCGACAGCGCCCGCCCCTGGGCAGGCGGCCGTCTGTCTCAGAGGGACGACGCCCGTGGCGACGCAGATAGCAAACCCTGTTCAAACATGGGCAAACATTGCTGGCGGTCTTCGCACTCATTCTTTCCGTAATGACCAGTTTCGATCGTACCTCTGAGGAAGACACAACGACATAAACATGAACTTTTGACAATCCGCGCGGATGTCTTGGATCTGCGCTCGACCCCCTCGCTGGCGCGCGGAGCGCGCCAAGGGCGGCGCTGGAGGCACCGCCTTGGGGGCCCTAACGCCGATCCAAGACATCCGCGCGGAACGTCGACAATTTCTGCTCATGTAGTTGCTTCTTCCTCCTAGGTGCGATCGACATGGGTACGGAATGACGAACGAACAACACACACCCACACCCATAGGGGGGTCGTTGGGAGGAGGACTGGCTATGGGTATGGGTGCGGGTTGTCGGACCCTGGGGAACGCTCCCGTTCGAGCGGGGACCCCCATCCGACAACCCGCACCCATAGCCCTCTCCGATCCCCCTATGGGGGTATGGGTGCGTGTTGTTGGTTCGCCACGGAAAGAATGGATGCGACGACCGATGGCAACTTCCTGCCCATGCCCATTCCCGGCGCACCACGAGCCGAGCCGAGCCGAGTCCGAGGAGGAGACGGCGCTCACCTCCTGGCCTGCCGGGTGCGCGCCGCGCCCCCTCGGTTTTCCCGCGGCGCCGCCGGGCCAGGCCCGTGTCCCGCGGCGCGCTCGGCACCGCTCAGGGTGACCGCGGCTGGCGCCGCCGAGCACAGCCCACCTCGCAGCGCAGATGGGCCAGGAGACGCATGGAGAGATGAAGAGAATGATGGAGCGAGAGAGAGAGAGAGAAAGAAAGAAAGAAAAGAGAGAGAGGGACAAACAGACATACACACACACACGCGCGCACACGCGCAAACGCACACGCACACGCACACGTGCACGTGCACACGCACACACGAGCGCACACGAGCGCACACGCACACGAACACACGTTTTGCTTGGAGTCGCGGCCCCGCGCGCGGCGATGGGGCGTAGAAGGTCGGGTGCAAGCAGCGGAATGCGCGTCTGCTCCGACGCACACCCACTCTCTCTCTCACACACATGCACAGAGGCACACATGCACGCACGCACGCACGCACGCACGGCCCGGCCCGGCCCGGCACGGCACGGCACAGCACAGCACGGCCCGGCCCGGCCCGGCCGCACGCACGAACGCACGCACGCACGCACGCACGCACGCAAGCACGCACGTACGCACGCACGCGCGCGCGCACGCGCACGCGCACGCGCACGCGCACGCGCACGCGCACGCGCACGCGCACGCGCTCGCGCACGCGCAAACGCACGCGCACGCGCAAACGCACGCCCAAGCGCACGCGCACGCGCACGCGCACGCGCACGCGCTCGCGCACGCGCGCGCACGCGCACGCGGACACGCACACGCACACGCACACACTTACACTTACACTTTCACTTACACTCACACATACACACGCACACAGACACCTTTTTCGCCGGCGGCGAGGCAGAGGTGGCTGCACCAGCGATAGAACTAAACAGGGGCACCGCGAAGCGAATTGGCAAGCGTGCAAGAGCGGGCCGCACACAGACACACAGACACACAGACACACAGACACACAGACACACACATGCACACGCACACGCACACGCACACGCACGCACACACACACACACACATTCGCACGCGCACACACACACACACACACACACGCACGCACGCTCGCACGCACGCACACACACACACACCACACCACAACACACACACCATCGACACACACCCACAATACACATAAAAACACACAACATCGGGCACAACACACAACACACACAACACACAGCACCACACGAACAACACACAACACACACGGATCGGGGAAAGCACCTCCGAAAAAGTGAAGCCAGTCCCAGCTCCTCTGGCGACGGAGCGCATCTGTGTCGCAAGGAAGCAGGCCCCCCCTTCTAATCCACGCGCCTGAACCATGTTTGCCCTTCCTCGAGTCTGCTCTGGGGGTGATGCCTGGCGGCTTTCGGGTCATCACTCGGCTTTGTCTCCTGGGATGCGTCCTGACAAGGATTCAGAGGAATCCAAGCCGTGGCGACGAGGCCTCTCCAGAACGAGCAGCAATATCGGGTCGGGCGAAAGGGGGGGATAGCAAAGGGGGGGGTTGAGAATTAGCTCGCGTAGCTGATTTTCCCGGCGCCTCCCGGCGCTGGAAGCAGCCATGTGTCGAGGAATGGGCCCCTCGGTGAGGCCGAAACCAGCTGCATGCAGCAAATTTCGTAACCCCCCCTTTCCCAATCCCCCCCTTTCGCCCGGCCCGACAATATCGGGCATCGGCAGTGCGAACCCAAAAACTGCGAGAACACTGGGGCCAAGAACAACACATGCTTGAACGACCCAAGCTCGCCAGAGCCACGTCTCTCGATACCACGCGAATGGAAGGCCCTCCCTCTGAACTTCGGGGGCTAACATTCTCTGCCCCTCCTGCGAATTCCCGCTCCCTCGACCAGAAGCTTGGGGACACTGCCGAGGACGACGACGACGGCGACGACCCGGGGGCCCCCAAAAACCGTGCAGTGAGGGACCGCGCGGGGGCCTCGATCGGAATCCCAAGAGACCCCACCGCGCGGTCCGCCATCGCACGGTCTTGGGACCGCGGAGGCCCCTGGCCGCCCCAGCAGTCCTGGGAGAGCGACCCGAGTCCCCAAAAACGTGTGGTGAGCTCGCATCCCCTCCGACTCGCCACAAGGGCCCTCCTCCGAATGTCTCGCTTCTGGGCCTTAAACTCGGGTCCTGGGCGGCCGTTCGGAGCGATCCCTCTCGGCGAGGCGCGGCTGCTGGAGCGCATTCTCGAAGCAAGAGAGCCCCCAGGAACGCATGGAAACGTCAGACAATCCCGAATCCCCCCCTGACTCACCACACGGTGTGGTCACCACGCCGTTTGGAGGCCCCCGAACGACGGCGACGGCGACGGCGACGGCGAGGGCGAGGGCGAGGGCGACGGCGACGGCGACGGCGAGGGCGACGGCGACGGCGACGGCGACGGCGACGGCGACGGCGACGGCGACGGCGACGGCGACGACGACGACGACGACGACGACGACGACGACGACGACCAAGCCACCCGCGGTGCCAGCCCGGTCGGCGGAGGCGCCGCCCGCGGCGGCGGGCGCTGGCGGGGCCGCGTCCGCATCGCCGCCGTGGCAGGGCGCGAGCAGCCGCAGCTCCTCGCCGTGAGAAGAATTTGGCTGTCCGAGCCCCTCCTCCTCCTCCTCCTCCTCCTCCTCCTTGTCCACCTCCTCCTCCTCCTCCTCCTCCTCCTCCTCCCGCTCCTCCCCCTCCTTGTCCTCCTCATCCTCCCTCCCTCCCTCCCTCGCCGGGGGGGGTCTGGCTGCCTCTGAGAAGGCGCCAGTTTTCGACAACGGACACATCAGCGGTGATGCTGCGTCGAACCTCCCAAGACTTGCACCTTCATACAATCTGCTTGTGACACGGGAGGGCTCGCTCCCCTCCTTCCTCGCCAGATCCTCCTGCCCCCCTCCTTCCTCCCCACTGTCATCTCCACGAATCTCCCTCCTCACCTCCTTTCCTCTTCACCGGAGCTGGGAGGGCGCCGCCCGGGAGCAGCCAGAGGGACCAAGGACACCTTGAAACACGACGAGCTTTGGCTCGGCGCCCCACAGTAGAGCTATATGATACAGTCAACCCGTATCACAAGGGTGCGCGGTAGGGATGCAAGGTTGGCCAGCGAGTCTCTAAGGATGGGCCGCACGGGGCAAAGATGCAAGGGTAACCGTGGGAACGTTCCCCATCCTTACTATGCGGGTTGATTGTAGGAGGAGGCTGCTTCTGAGAAGGCGCCGGCCCTACATCTACAGAGGAGGCCCGCGCCTTCGAAGAAGCAAACGCTCTTCTGAGAAGCCTTCCCCCACACCCATAACCCCACTTCGCGCGGCGCTCATATCCACTGCAGCTTGGAGTTTCGGGCTTCCTTCCCCAGAAACCCGAGGCGCATTGGGTATGGATACAGATTTTGCTCCTAGATGCTCGATTTGATCGGCCTTGCGGCGTCCCTTCCAAGAAAGTCCAAGACGAACTGGATATGGACATAAACACTGCCCGCATCTTCTGCCGATCTAATCAAAAACACGCGCGCACACACACACACACACACACACACACACGCGCGCACGCGCACGCGCACGCGCACGCGCACACGCACGCGCACGCGCACGCGCACCCGCACTCGCACCCGCACCCGCACCCGCCCCCCCCCCCCCCCCCTCCCCCCCCCCCCCCACACACACACACACACACACACACACACACACACACACACACACACACACACACACACACACACACACACACACACACACACACATACACACACACACACACGCACACGCACACGCACACGCACACGCACACGCACACGCACACGCACACGCACTCGGCCGGATTCACGATCTAGGAATGGACCAGATCGCGATCTGGTCCATTCTGGATCGTGAATCGGTCCGTTGTTGGATCCTGAATCGGTCCGTTTTAAATCGCGAGTCGGTCCATTCTGAATCGTGAATCGGGCAGAACTCGTCTTGTCTGCAGATCGGTCGGACCAAATCGCGATCTGGTCCGGAAAAGCTGATTCACGATCCAAAAACGGACTGATTCAGGATTCCAAAACGGACCGATTCACGATCTAATATGGACCGATTCACGATTTAGAACGAACCGATCTTGTCGACGTGTTCGGGTGTATTTGAAGGGACGTATGTGGATTTTGGAAGTTTTGGGAGGGGTTGGGTGGATTTGGGAGGACTTGGGAGGATTCGGGCGGATTCAAAAGCATTTCAAAACCCACCCAGAAGCATTTCAAAAGCGTCTCAGAAGCCTTTCAAAAACTTCGCAGAAGCCTTTCAAAAGCCTCTCCGAAGCCTTTCAAAAGCGTCCCAACAGCCTCTCAAGCGCCTTTCCAAAGCCTCTCAGAAGCCTTTCAAAAGCCTATTCAAAAAGCCTCTCTGAAGCATTTCAAAAGCCTCTCAGAAGAAACCTTTCAAAAGCTTTTCAACAACTGCTCAAAAACCTTTCCAAAGCCCCCTGGGCGCCTCCTAGAGGCCTCCTTGGGTATTGACCAGAACGGAAATCTGTGAAACATCTGTGAAAGGGGCACCCCCTCATCACTAACACACACTACACCAAACCACAACACGCACAAGCAACGCGCGCGGAAACACCACGAAACACCACGACCACCACGAGAACCCACGATACACCACGGGGCACCACGGGACACCACGATGCACCACAGCACACCACATCGCGCACACACACACACACACCACCACCACCAAAACACACCACGCCACACACACACACACCACACCACACCACACTACACCACGCACACTCCACACGCACGGAGGCACCACGAGACACCACGAGCACCACGAGACACCACGACGCACCACGAGACACCACGGGACACCGCGGGACACCACCACCACACCGCACACACACACACACACACACACCACCCTAGGAATCCCTGGGAATCGATTCCCAGGGATTCGAAAAGGGATCCGGGGATCACCCCTAGAATCCCTGGGAGTCGATTCCCAGGGATTCCGAAAGTGATCCCAGGATCGCTTTTGAAAATCCCTGGGAAACGATTGATTCAAGATTCCAAAACGGACCGATTCACGATCTAGAACGGACTGGTTCAAGATTCGAAAATGAACTGATTCACGGCTTAAAACAAACTTATTCAAGAGGCCAAAACAGACCGATTCACGAGCTAAACCGGACCGATTCACGATCCAGAACGGATTGATCTCAAATTTGAACGCGCGGAAGAACAATGCACAAATAATAAACAACAACACCCCCTCAAAAGAAAAACGTCCCATTCCCAAGAGGCCTATACCCAGCGCCATTTTCGTGCCCGTTTGCGCGACCGCGCGCGTATTTCACAAAAAAAAAAAAAAAAAAAAAAAAAATCGGAACGAATGAAACCCGAAAAATCAAGAAAAACAATAATTTCCCCCTCCCGGACGGCCCATTGCAAGTACCGCTTCCGTGTCCAATCGCGCGTCGGCGCGCGCATTTCGCGGAAGACGGGTATGAAACAAGAAAAAACATCTGAACCCGAATAATCAGAAAAACTTATAATTTCCCCCTCCCAAACGGCCCATTGCAAGTACTGTTTCCGTCTCCAGTCGCACGTCCGCGCGCGCATTTCGCGGAAGACGGGTCGGAGGCAGGAAACAAGGTCGGAACCCGAAAAAAAAGGGGGGGGAAAAAAACGACAAAAACCTCCCAGACGGCCCATTGCAAGCACCGTTTCCGTGCCCAGTCGCGCGTCCGCGCGCGCATTTCGCGGAGGATGGGTCAGAAACAGGAAAAAAAATCGGAACCCCAAACATCAGAAAAAACCCATCACTTCCCCGTCCCAGACGGTCCATTGCAAGTACCGCTCCCGTGGCCGGTTGCGCGTCCGACCGCGCATTGCCCGCCCTGTGGTCACCAGGACCCAGCGGCACATGACGCGTGCAGGCCTCCAATCATCCCACATGCGCAACTTGGGGCATGAGCTTTCTGGCCCTCGTGTTCTGCGACGGGTCGAAAAGAAACGGCTGAAGGCGGCTCAGGAACGCAAACACCGCCTCCTTATGTTGCGCCGTGCGGTGGGCAGAAAGGCCTCCACCTTGTGGCGCACAGGACTCATGCCGTCCGCTGGCCACGGTGCTGGTGCATCTGGGCTGACAGATGCGCCTCTTCGTGAACTGCGGAACCTCGTTGCAGTTCTCAATGGGAAGAGTGACAAACACCATGCGTGCGTCACGGCGTACCTTCTTACCCATCCCTCGGAGGAGCCTGCTTGGGCGTGGGATGGGCGCACCTCCCCCAGTCGACTGCAAAAGGCTTGGACAGCGCTCCATGAGCGCGTTGTCCCCATTAGCTGGGCCAACGCCAAAGGTCCACTTGCTGCGACGTGGTTCACGCTCAGACGCATTGCCTGGGACATGGAGGCGCCACATGTGCTGCAGGACGACTTGGGCAACAAGTACGACCTGTACCGTGTCTGCCCAGCGGATCCACGACCTCTCTTGGCTGCTGGGGTACAGCGATGGCAGCGCGACAGGCTGACCAGTCACATGTACTCGCACGCGGGAGCACCCATCTGGCACCGAGGCCTTCGGCACGCCATCAAGGGCGTCAGACGCGCCCGGCAGCTCGGGGCGCTTCAGGCGCTATGGGCGGACAACATTCCTACGCCCGTTTTCCGGGACATGCAATTCGGCAGGGTTATGCGGCCGTGCCAAGCCTGAGGTAAGGTCCTGACGTCGGACGAGGGATGGCCCATCCCTCGTCCGATGGGGTCATGTTTTCTTGGCCCCATCTCGGATGGGGCCATGTTTTCTTGGAATGGCCTGCGCTCCTGACTCGCCTGCCTGCGAGTGAATCCCTGGCTCGCGTGCAAGGTGTAACAGACCAGGCCCATGGCCTTACTGTGCAGTCCCCGCCAACGCAGCTTACGACGGATGAGCCAGAGGACCGACCATGTCCCAGGCCTTACGGCGGCTGGTTCGCAGATGCCCATTGCCTTGTCTGAGGCGAAGGACCATGTCTCTGAGCCTGGTCGATGTGCTGAACCTCCCCCTGCTTCTGGTCGCTGTGGAGCTGCCTCCCATGCGCTGACTGGCTCCGTGGCGGAAGCCGTCACTGCTGCTCTGGGACAGCACCGTAAGGTTTCACAATTTGTCTCCTGGGCTGCGCTGCAGGTTGTTGTCCGTAAGGCCCGGGGACGTGATGCGGAGGTTCCGCGGCCACCAGGCGAGCATGCCGTGCCCGTTGCGATTTCGCGCAATACGGACCATGTCCTTGCGCATTCGGTTTCGTTAGGCAAATATCGATGCGTCCATTGCGGTGTCACGGCCACTACGGGTGCCTCGTTAGACTCTGTGCAGACAGGCTCTCTTCGCGAATGTCGGCCGTCGCGTGTGTTGCGCGCCCTCAACGCCTAGTACTTTCGCAGCTGTGGCGACGATTGGACACTATGTGGTGACCAACGTGCTTGCGTTGCTGCGGGGGCTGCGTTGGCGAGCGAAGGACGGCCAACAGTTTCTCAGCAGGATTCCTGGCCCGCCCAGCCCATGGCTGAGGACGCGGCAGCGGTGTTTGCAGACTTGAGTCACGACGTGTCCCTGAACAACCAAGTTTACTG